CGTGATTTCCTCTCTTTTTTTCTAAACTGAAATTGTCTTATGGTTGCTGCAATCAACCCATAATCCTGATAGTTTCGTTGTTGTGTATAAGATTTATACTTCTCTGGCTAGAATTTCAGAATATTGAGTTGAGCAAACAGTGGTAGCAATCAATCAAATCGACGAAAATGTGTCAGGTTTTTTAGGTTAACAAAAACAGTTGACACAACTTTTTGAAAAGAGCGTTATAAAGATTATTTTATGACCGAAGATATGCATTCCCTATTGTACTCATAGAATTTCATAAAGTTCCTATTTTGTAACAATGTATATATAGTTAAACACACGTATATAGTACATGCATGTCAACTCACATACGAACGTAAAGCTTATTCAAGGACAGTAAACTGGAAGGAAAGGAAATGATATTGCTAGATGAGCCTCAAATAATCGAGATTACAATCTAAGAAGGAAGAGAATGTGCGATGAATTCTGTGACAGATACACGTTACATATTACCAGCTCATATTTCTTACTGAATGATCGTAAAGAAAGAGAATGTCTCGAAATAGATGTAAGTTCTATCAGGTAGCTTTTGTTCCTTAAATTACGATTACAAAATGTTAGGTTATAATCTGCGTCAAAAGCATCCTTTGGAATTTTAATGAATGCAATTTTATGTGTGTCGAATAAAGAAAGGTATTTGTATTAAATTATCATGTAGTAGAGGTTTAAAAATTTAGAACATTTATGACTTATTTAACTATCGATATATTTTAAAGTCGCGTTGTACACTACTCGTTAATTATCGCTCATGAAAATATCACCTTTAGGCTAGTGCTGACACAAATTTTATGTTCTGTAAAGTATTGAGTATTAGTATAATTAAACAGTTTCAAAGATCTCTATAATTACGTTATTCTATTATAAAAAACATATATCGCGATAATACTTATACGTATTCTTAATCTATCGAGACTTAAGGTCGACCTTCAAACATTGATCTTCAATTTCCTGCTGTCAAACAAGGAAAAAAAATTCGGTTCACTTATGTAACAAACTATTTATATCGAACTAGTTCGGATATTTGAATAATTGATTTCGTTCGATAAAGTTTGTTTTATTCCAGTTATTTTTAACGTATCGGCATTTTTTGTTTACGTTTTTATGTCACCTTTTTAATGTTCATATCCATACTGTTTTAAAAGAAGAAGAAATTTTACAATCTTGCAAAGTTGATTATTTTGTTTAAGTTATAGCCGTAATATTTCATCTGCTAACGCCATTTCCTTTTTAAGCTTGTTGGGCGTCGTGACATTCCTAACCTCTTTTCCTGCAACAAATGTTATTTATGTTGTATCGTAACTAGAAAAGTATACCCCATGTTCTACGCAGAAGACTTGTAGCATGAGTCATAAGTACTTATCATTCCTAATGGAAGACTTTACGGCAAAATAATAATACGAAATTAAATATTCCATGAAATATTAAAAAAAAAACGAAGTAAAAAATAGGATATGTATGGATTAAATGAGATAAGAAATTTGGCAAGCTGCCTATTTTTATTCAAGGATCATCAAAGCGATAGGATCCTATAATTAAAATGCTAACACGTGAAAGATACAAATAATATATCGTCTCCTAATATCACAGCTAAATATAAATCTAATACGATTTTTATATTCAGTGAAGTACTAATAATACGGAAATCTTTTATTTCCGACAAGGCGATTCGTTTTTTCGTTTAAAACTATACATAATCTCATGTTCATTAAAAACGTCTGAAACAATCGATATCATCATTAGCATCTCTTGAGCAAAAAGGCTATTTATATTGTTCATTGTTAAACGAGGTTTACCAAGTTCGATCTTTTTCCCAAAAGACTCCGTTTCGGTATGTTCACTGTTCCCATTACCTACATTTCTCGTCAGAGCGTATCCAAAAACCAGCAAGCAGACCCGTGAAAAAAAATCGGTCAATCGAATAACGGAATGTGTTGTCCGTTTCACGCACATCGTGTGCGCATGCGTGTGAGCGCGAAGTTCTAGAACAAGAGTTACACATAAACCCGGATTTACACACTTAATTCATACAATGTAAATCTAGACTACATATATGTGAAGAAAAAAAAAGATAAAGAATTCAAGTGATAGTGTAAATTGAAGATTAGGCGTGCATAGATAAACGGATGTAGAGAAGAGTTTAGAATGAAATACAGAAACGGTGGCGAATGAAGACAGTTGATAAAGTAGAGAGAACAAAGTGATAAATGATTGGGCGAAAAAAATATGGAAGAAAAACGAGCCTGTTAGTCTCACCTCCCATTCGATTCTCCCCACTCTTTTTCTAATGCATAACGACGTTTTGTCCATTCACCATTCCTGGTCACGGGCCTAATGGTACCGATTATTCGTTTAACGGGACCTGCATGTCCATGGTGGTGGCGAACGATGATTTCTTTAGCAGCTGACCGCCGGTTCAGGGTTTTGTACATCGGTCAGTCGAAGAGTACGTTGTCGCGCGCAAGCATTGGTTCTGCTCTCTCGAAATCGATCGTGTTTTGCCGGGAACGCTTTTACCGACGTGTTTAAGACGTTACAGTTGAATCGACGAAACGGTTCAGTCGTTTAGTTGGATCGGAAGTTTTAGTTGATTTAACATGATTATGCACGATGTTGCTAAGTTGATTCACAGTTAATAGTGCCCACGTTTTATACCGATCAGTATTGGTTTTTTATACAAACATCGAAAGATACGTGAAACGATCCAGAAATTCGCTTTTTCATAGTACAATTTATGGTTCTGTGGTGAATTTATGCAGGAACGTGACATAGGAATCCACGGGACGTGACAACCACCACATGGTTCAAACGGATACTGTATCTAACATATTATGTGTATACTACGAAAAGTTTTTCTTTGAGAACAATACTCGTTTGACCGCTCTCAGCCAGTGTTTATACTTTTTTCTTCGCCTATTTCTTGTTTCAAGTTACGAAGTATATATTACATGTGAAAGTAGTAGTTTGTAGTTCGTATTACAGAGAATTGTAGGTAGTAATGAAAACAAATACATTTCTGAATTGATAAATCTTACCATCCAGAATCGTTATCGTTAACAAGCAGACACTGCTACGTTTGCACGTTTGTTATGTGAAAAAGAAAGAAAGGTATTGGCTATATTTATAGTCAGGGCCACGATATAGCGAGGTCGCAACTTAAACTCTCAAAAATCGGCACCAATTGATGCTGCGGCGGCACTCAAGGGCGTGCGTTGCACTCTGTTTAAGGGTTCCAACAATAAATGAATGGTAGCACATGATTTGGTATTTCAAGTAGAAAAAAATAGGTATTTCATTTACAAATGGAAAATATGTTAATGTTAATTACTATCTAAAATATTTGTAATTTCTTTCTGTGTCCACAGCTACACAACCTTTTTGCATTTTCTATCTGTATATAACACGAGCAGATAAATTAAGATGTTAAAGACCTCAATAAGACCTTTACTACCTGTAACCGTACTTCCAAAAGCGGTTTCCCCCAGAGGGAAAAACCCTAATTTGTCTTACCTGCACGCAGTTTTTAGTAAATATATTAGAATCAGTTTGACTTTCACTGGATACAAGAATTCTTCGTACGGTCCTGACCATGGTTTCAAGTACTTATCTGTTCGTATTTCTGTCAATTCTCGGGTTCCGGCAGCTAAAACATGTTTACTTTGACGCCTGACCGATTTTACGACCTTGCTATACCGTTGCCCCAACTATACAAAGGAAATTTTCCGATCATTAGTGACACGATACTTATTCGCATCTCGTGCACGAATTCAATTAGTTCGATAATTATCCACCTACAGTTTAGATGGCGCACAAAGATCCAGATAATCTTTCAGTCCGGAATATCCAATCGATATTGAAAAAATTAAATTACAAATTATCTTCTGTAGATAAGTTTAATTTACGAATTATTATTTAAGATTAGTAACATTGAGAATTGAGTATCTGAACTTAAAAAAATACAACATTTTTTCGATAAAAAAGCTAAGAATAAAGATAAAGAACATCGATGTGAAAAGGAAATTAGCCTAACGAAAAGACGATACGTAAATGAATGGCTAAGAGGTGGGGGGAGAGGAAGGAGGTGAACAAAAGCGTGTGCAGGTACATAAGAGAGAAGAACAGCAGAGTTTTGGAATGAGTCAAGCCTTGTTGAGTACTGTGTGACTACGTAAAGAAAGTGCATATTTATCATTCGTCGGAAGAAAGATACGCCGGTGATTGTGTTCGCGATAATTTGACCAAGTGCAGTTGTTATCAGTGTAAAATTCGTGACAAGTTAGCGAATTATTCGTAGTGGTGCGAGTGTGTTATTCTCAATATCCTTAAAAAAGCGTGCATTCGTCCATCTAAGGACGAATTTTAAACAATTCAACACGGGGTCCATACTATCAATAGTAAGTTAGATGGTGAAAATGTAAAATGCGTATTTCCAGAATAAACTACGTACAGATAAAAAGTGGAGTTTATTAAAAGAGATAGTTAAACAATTGGTTGTGGTAGTTTCAAGCGTCAAAGTGCATTTCATAATGGGTATTTTGCTTGTGATGTTTACGTAGAATGACATAGTGTTTCACTAAAAATATCCGCTAAGTCAGTAGTTTGATAAAAAGGTTTAAATAGTGTCCATTAAAAAAATGAAACAAAAAAAATGACTAAAACGACAACACAAGTAATCTTTATTAAACAAAACAATGCTTTGACTACTGCTTGAAAACCTTAAAAATGTCTGCATTACCGATTGAACCGTGAATTATATTATTCTAAAAGTATTATTCAAATAATTGTAAAATAATTTTCAGCAAATCCGATTATTTTAACTCTCCCTAATTGTTAATTTTAAATTACATCTAAATTTGTTATTTTTAAAGAAACTAAAATAAAACAATTTCATGCACATCATTTCAATCATTTTGGAGACAAAGTTATAGAAATTTTCTAAAATATAACCCGTAATATAGTTGCAGGATATACAGCAGCAGAATCCACAGTTAATGCTCACACTATGCGTGAAGAGGTCAACGTTAGTTCCATTCTGCCGCTATGGACACTACGATATAGTCAAATATCTCATCGAAAGGTGCGGGGCGGATGTGAATCTGCCTGGCGTAGGTAAAGCCCACCAGGTCATTTTATTTAATGTTTCGTCGAACTTCTCGTGCGTCAGCATTTTTTAGAACGCCATGAATAAGAATGTAACAAAATTTGGAATTTTTACGAATAAAATGTTTATGCACCATGATATCTCTGAAAGAAATAATTAATATCGCAATATTTTAACCTTTTACACATGAAATTATTTTTTATATGTATACAATTTTTAATATCACGTTTATTATATTAACAGTGGTGTTCGATGACAAGGAGATTGAAGATGCGTCGCCACTATGGTGTGCGGCTGCGGCCGGTCATTTGGATTTGGTTGTGCTGCTGGTGCAGTATGGTGCTAAATTGAATTCCACCACCAAAACATACTCCACACCTTTACGAGCAGCTTGTTTTGACGGTTACTACGAAATTGTCAAGTATTTGGTGAGACGAGGTGCAGGTAAGAATCATTTGCATAATTCTTGAGAAAGAAATCAAAATGGAAGTATTGTTATTTGATAGTTTCAAATAATAAGCTATTTTTGTCACCCCCATAGACAGAAACAGTGAATTATATTCTCATTATTTGATTACAGATATCGAGATAGCGAACAGACACGGTCACACAAGTTTGATGATTGCCTGTTACAAAGGTCATACTAAAATCGTCAAGTTCCTACTTGACCGGAAGGCACAAGTTAATCGGAAATCCGAAAGTGGTGGCACGGCACTTCATGACTGCGCTGAAAGCGGATCCTTAGAGATCGCAAAGATGCTCATCGAACATGGCGCCAGAATGTGCGTCGATTCCGATGGAGTATCACCACTCCTAGCAGCAGCGCTAGCAGGTTAAAGCAACAAGTTTCAAGCATAATTCCAAAAGTGGTGACACTCTAGTAAAAGATGTTTTATCACAGAATTATTTTGACTTTGCAGGCTATAAAAACGTTTACGAATACTTCATTAGTATACCCAATCTGGTGAGTCGAAAGGAACGAATAGATGCGTTAGAATTGCTGGGCGCCACGTATGTAGATAAAAATGAGGACATGATGGGGGCATTTGATCTTTGGAAACGAGCGATGGACGAGAGGTTTGTGAAGATTCCATAAATGGATGCAGATAATGTAGTTTGACAGATTTTATGTAGAAATGCAAATAACTTTCATTCTAGGTATCGAGATGATTGCCCTGTATTATACAAACCACCATCGACCGCTATAGCAGCTTACAACTTCGCAAAGGAAGTCACTGATGCTGACTCATTAAACGAATTATTAAACGATCCGGACCAAATACGAATGCAAGCACTGGTAATTAGAGAACGAATATTAGGACTAGGTCATCCTGATACTATTTATTATATACGCCAAAGAGGAGCAGTATACGGGGATGGCGGAATATTTGACCGTTGTATTAAACTTTGGAATCATGCATTAGATTCAAAGCAGAGTATACTAAGACCACTGGATGAAACGACTCTAACTGCTCTACTTTGTTCCATCCAAGTCTTCAGCACTATGATAGACAGACAACAAAGTTCTGACCGAACAATACCGCCGATCCAGAACGAAGGACTTGTAGTGTTTAAAAAAACAGTAAGTTGCAAGGATGAGGTGTATTAAAGATTTGATCTGTTCTTACAGATAGTAATACGAGGTGTATATGCATTATTTTAGGTGCTACAAGTGAAACTTGGAAAACAAATGTTGGACACAGTACCATTTTATGAACGTAATATAACGCATCTGAACGAAGCTCTTATGATCGCTTTACGTCTAGCAAGTTTGTTAACGCATGAAATGCCAGAAGAAAACACCGAAAAACATAAGTCATTGTTTCTAGCAATTCATAAATTAGTTAGAATAAAAGCCAAAGGCACTAATGTAAGTCAATTAACATAAATAATTTAATAATTCTATATGTATTAAAAGCTTTCTAATAAAAATTAAATATTAAATTTTTTTACAGGACAGCGACCTGATGCATTTAATTTTTAGTCGTCACATGATTGGAATTGGACCGAAGTCTCCGACGTATAGATCCCTTTCGCCACAGTTACTGAAAGCTCTGATAAAAACCGGAGCTGATGTCTCAGCAAAAGACAAATTTGGAGATACACCATTACATAAAGCTGCTATGTTTGATGCACCTTCCGATCTTATCACCATTCTTCTCGATGCTGGTGCTCATATTGATGCTGTTAATAAAACCGGTAGAACTTTTGAATCGTCCGTAAAAGATAGACGTCAATACGAGGCTGTGTATCCTGTAAGATACATTACACTCTCCTGCTTAGCTGCCAGAGTAATTCGAAAAACATATAATGATACGATTTTCGAGTTGGTACCAAATCATCTTCGAGACTTTCTTCAAATGCATTAGTGATATTAACAGGCGACGCCAGAAATAATAGGTTATTGTTTATCATATAGCAAGTGATATTTATTTGTTATCTAAATGAGAAAAAAATCGACGATTTTTATATCTTTTTGGAAAGTGCAGAATTACTATCAGAACGTATTTCGAAATGGAAAATGAATGAAACCCATCCTCGAGTAATTTGTTATTAATGAATATGTATTAATACGATATAAATATCTCGAAATTGTTGCGATTAATTCTGCACAAATCTATTTTGATGACTCATCTAATGTTCATTGCTAACAGAGTTAGTTAGTAACTGATTCACATAATATGTGAATTTTCAAATTAATACCACAATATGATCTTCATAGAGATTTATTCATTGACATCAATTACGATAATTGTTTATAGATATCAGTTAATGTGATTTTAATGTATACCTGGCTGACAGCCTTTCCCTTATATATAAACCCCAACTTTAATAATGATAATAACAACAATAATAATGCGTTTTTATTACACATTATAAAGTTACTTGAATGCAAAACTAAGAAAGTGAATGAACGTGTAACAATGAGTGTATAATGGGTAGAACTCGATAATAAAAGGGCTTTTAAACCTAACCCTAAAAGCGGCTTCTCTACGGGAATAGAATCTGAATCTTCCACCTTCGATGAAGGTGTTCCGTATACTAAATTAGAGGGATTTTTTTTAGAGAGGTACAGTACCGTCCTTATGGTTCTCAAGAAGCAAATACAGCACTCTGACATATAAGTCAGAATCGGATAAGAACTTATGATATGACAGCTATAGAATTTTATGAAAATTTAGGAAACAAAAAATTGTTCAATGGAATAATTTTAATCTCGGGGACTGTCGCAATCTGCATAGATTGCATAGCTTCCTTACTTCACCCGGAAATGGCGCTCAGGGACGAGCGAACGGAGATTCACCCGCGCGCTATCATGAACGACGCGTACGCGTGACTTCTCGGTTATCGATCGCTGTCAAAAAAATTTGACTTTGCACCGCTATTTTTATAAGGCTTAAAGAAATGGGTTTTTGCCGTCATTACGACATTTGTATAAATTTTTGAAAAAACTGCAATTAGTCGGAATCGTGAAGAAAATAGCGAAGGTCGCTTTTAACGCGTACGCATTTGTTCTATCGCGCGCGGGTGAGCCTCTGTTCTTCGTCCCTGAGCGCAAGCTCTACGCGCGCTCCTATTGGCCAGTGTTTTTCGTTAATAATTCAAAAATGAAGCTTCAAACAACATTTTGCTAAAGGAAAAAATTGTTCAGAGTCACCCCAGCAACCCCCCATTTCCGGGTGTTCGAGGAGTTACGGGACACCCTGTATGTTCAACTAAAACATTACGTAATCGTAAAAAGAAACAATTTTACTGTAATACAACCTTTGATACAACAAGGAATAATTTAACATAAAAATGTATATATGATATTTCTTGAAAACAGTTCACTTATATCAGTCTTTAAGCTTACCTTTATTCAAATGTGATAAATATATACAGATTATAAGTATTGTACAGAATTATATGAACTTAGAGTATACACGCGAGATGTTCCAGTAAGGTGCCCCTTATTGAAAGTCGACAAATAATTTCACTTGTCACTAATTAACACGACTGATTTTCACACAGTAAAGCCGTGTAAAATTCATAATTTCATGTAACTTCGAATTATTGTATTTTCTGAACACGATTCTGTTTTAGCAATTGCATTCACACTTTTTATCATTTTACACAAACACTATAATTCTCTATAAAAATGTATCTTACGTATAAAGTCGCACAATTTAACTTTTTTATAATGTAAAGACTGGAAATACAGGAATGATTAATAATATATGGAAATGTTTACTTTTATTTAGTAAGATAGTGAATTTTTTCCCTTGTAAAACTTACCACTCGATTACCTTGCGGTTGGACGAGGTAGCTTTCCTGGAAGAACAACATACTCTTAAAAATCTGTTTTTTAAATTCTCCGACTTACCCAGTTTCCTGTAATATGATAGCCGCAATTTAAAAATTATTAATGTACTCAAAATATGTTTAGTGTGGTCCTGCATACTGAAAATTTTGGTATTTACATATAGTATTCGAACAATTTCAACAATGAATCTGTAGAGACAATTTGATCAAAGAGGAAAAATGCAGTTGTCCCTATTTTTTCCACATTCGTTGAAACATATAACATCCTTCCTCTAGAATTTCTCATAGAACAACAAAACACAACTGATCAATCACTTACGACGGAAATAATACAACAAACCATTACACACGATCTCACGCATTATGAAATAAGACCCTATCTGACATCAGTGGCACTGTAAGAAAAAAAGACCACGTCCTTCAAGTGTTAAGAAACAAATTTGATAACCACATACAGTGGAGATTGACGATAGTTGTTAAAAAGTTCCACACGTACAGTAATTTGAGCACGTTTTAAGTATTTCATTGATGATCGTGGCAAAGACCAGAACATAAAAATATTTACTACCACTTACCATAGAAATTATAGTTAATTGTGAAATACTGTAAATATTTTGTTTTTACGTTGTATAAATTCACTTAGAATATAGGATTTCGCAATCATTTAGACTAGATACTAGATTATCGATAAATATGGAAGATACACTCTCGATACTACAATAAATAAGAATCAACTACGATGTTAGAGATGAAATGCTACATTACCAACCAATTTTAACTTCCCTCAAAAACCTGTTAATCCACTATTTCAGTCAATAGTAAAACTGTTAACAATTTTCGAAGGAAGAATACCACATATAACTTGATGATTCGAATATCATTTTAATGATGCGTTCCAGTGGTCATTGATGAAGGAACAAATTTCAAGCAAATTATTCTTTCTTGAACCATATTCACCATAGAGGAATAGAAAACCACAATCACCTGAAAAATGTCTCACCTGCGATGTAAACAAATAATCACACACACCTCATGAATCCCAAAAATAAGCAGGGAATTCTATATCTAAAGATACAATTATAAAATTTTTAAGCAGAAATTTCTGTTTAGAGTGCAATGCATTTGAAAAAAAACTCATTCCTTGTAAATGTATTGCACACATAAAAGTTGCAGAAACGATATCCTCTATGACAACGCATATCCACAGCTTAACCTGCTTAAAGTATAAAAGAGTCACAACAACACAGAAATAAAACACAACGACCAGCGTATTTTTTTGTAGTCAAAACGGATTTGGATTTTATTCAATCACTGTCATGATGTCGTGGTTATACAAGAGTGTTATACAATGCGCAGAATGTTCCTCGAGATCTACATGGCGAGAGGAAATATGTTTACCAAAGAATATACGTATAAAATCAGCAGAAAAGCCTTATTATTCCTTTTCTTAAATACCGAAAGATAAAAATTCATTGTTTTGTACACAAATTTTATGTATTTTTTGGTAAACATACTATTGATGCACAATATGTAAGACAATTCTGCCAAATTTAGGGTATAAGTCATCCAATGTTCGTTCGCTGAAGTCTCAAGACGAGTGAACTGTGGGAGGGACCTTCCTAATGACAACTAAAATTTTGTATGCTGTACTACACTTGAATCTCCAAGTTACTAGAACGATGTGGCGCGACGAATAAAAGATCAGATCGCAGAACTACAATGAAAACAATACAGTCCCCTGTTGAGCCATGATGTATCTTACTATGTAATAGATACAAGAATAGAGTGCGACCGATACCACAGACAAACTCGACACACGTCCACGATCTGTGTAGGATTGTGCATGAAAGTATCTATCATACATGGATAAACTTTAACTCGTAAAATCCGTAACGGCTATATCGCGTTAGTATTTATGCTTGAAAGATTAATCTGTCCCTGATAGATAGACCAGTCCGCGAACGACCAAAACGTCATACGTTCGACCGGAAAGTGGGAAAACTGATTGATCTCTCGTCGTGAAAATTAAGAAATTAACTTACAAGCTACGTTTGATAATTACTGTAAATAGCATAAACCTACATACTGAAAAACCTATAGATTACGTTGAACATTATGAACCTAATTCTAACAACTAAACTATATATCGATCACTCGAAAAAAGATTGATTTAGGAGTGAACACTTAGTAGACTTCCACTGTAAACAGAAACGATAATCTGGTAAAAGAATTTCGAATGAAACAGTCGTAGCAAGGAAGGGTGATCATCGGCAGCCAATGAGTGTTTCAACGTTGAAGTAGGCATAAAACACGACTGTTGATCTTCCAACGACAGATACTTCTCACCCACTGTCCTAAGTTCTGCCACACAACTAGGATGAATTTCAAGTATTGTCATCAGGAGTGGAACAATCCTGCAGACGACATACGAACACCCAGTCTCCTCTCGCTGCATCAATAAGTTATGGTTAAGCGTCAAACTCTGCAGAGGTTCTCTATTAATGTTACCTTGAGTGTTATTTTTCAGCTTTTAGTAAAGGCGAACATCGATCGTTCTGCCGTCGATACGCGACCGATTCATCATAGCTGTATATACACAAATATATTAAGGAAAATCTTTTGAATGATAAATCTCCCTTAGGATGCACATTCACACAATAATATATGAAAATGACCAGTGTTATCAGTATATTGTTTGAAAGGATACACACAGCACGTTCAGCATCCCATTCAGATGCGAATCGCACCATGCCCATGTCAGTGCCTCGCATTTCAGCAAATTTCACCTCCCCCACATCTTGGAATTTGTCCCGTAACATTTGCCATGTCGTATTAGGCGGAAGCTGTAACAATTATTTTTATTCTGGTAAATGTATACATGTCGAAATAAATGTAGTCTAATATCTGCATAAGCATTAACAAAAATTTACATACATTTCCTATGAGAATTGTGTCTGACATTGGTCGCGAACCATTTGTGTTTTGTCTATTGCCACCCCCTCCTTGACCTTGATTGCCAGCGAAACCACCCCCTCCACCAGGAACACGATCGTTGTCCCCTCTGTTGAATCCACCGTCAAAATCTCTGCCGCCCCCGAAGTTAGAACCACCAAAAGCATTGTTTCCACCGAAGCCTACATCATTGTCCATTTTAGATAAGCCTCGCGGCGCAAAGGAATTGTTGCTTTGTCCGCCAGCTAAAGAGGCTTGTAAATTAGACAAACCTCCAACTCCTCCGCCGAAATTATTTAAGTTAGAAGCCAATTCATTTGTCAAAGATGAATTCAGCAAAGAACTGGTGGTCAGGTTAGCACTCAAACCTCCAGCAAGACTTGCTTGAAGAGCTGCTGCATTTGTATTTGTTAAAGCAGATGCTACAAATACATAATCATATATATATGTATATACATTAGTTTCTTTTTATTCATTTTATTCTATCTATTAAGTCTTACCTAACTGTGCTGGTACAACATTGTTTAAGCCAGCACCAAAAGCTCCAGCAGCTAATACAGGAGCCGAAATAGGATTCACAACAGGTGGGTTATTTGCTTGTACATTGGGAATGTTTCTAGCTACATCCATTAGCCTATTACCACCAGCTCCAAGTCCCATTCCAATTCCCTTTAAACCTATTTTACATTTAAGGTTTATTTTTGTTTCCTCATTTTGCAATAGAATATATTATGATAAAATAGATATACCTTCTGGTAACTTTGGTGGCATGTCTGGTTCATTTGCTCTGTCAAGTCGAACAGTCATACGTCTGTCATAAAGTTGTTGATTGTGAAGCATTGATATAGCCTGTACAGATTCTACTGGATGATCATACTCTACAACTCCAAATCCTCGCGATTTTCCATCTTTATCCTTTCCTAACTCAACATGTAGTACTTTACCAGCTAATTTAAATACTTCCAACAACTTCTTTTCATCCACTTTATAGTCAAGCTAAAGATGCAAGGTGAATTGTTGAGAATTGATTTTTAACTTCTCATTTAATTTAAGAGTTTATAGTTTGTGCAATAAGATGTACTTACATTTGCCACAAATACTCTAGTAACTAAAGGCCCATTAATACCTAAAGATTCTAAAAACTGAGTACTTAAACCATAGGTATTTCCAAATTTACTGTCACCACCTCCACCACCACCTCCACCTACACCACCACCTCCACCTCCTCCACCGCCACCACCACCACCACCACCACCTGTAGGGGCATTCATATTTTGACGCCCACCACCTTGTGGTCTTGGTGGATCTCTAAATCTATCATCACGAACTCTTTCATTGTTGCGAGCTGTTGCCAACCGACCATATTTATCACGCTCAATATCAAAGTCCTAAAAAGAACATGTTGTGAAATGTGTTCGGAATATTGAGTAGATTAATAATCCAAATAGTAGGGTCTTTGCAAAAATAACAATATACTAACTACCTCTTTGACGACCAGCTTTCTTCCCTTAATATCATACCGATGCATTTTTTCTACAGCAATTTTTACTGAGTCTGAATCTTCAAATTCAACAATTCCACAGCCTCTTGGTTTGTCATTCTCATCAGTAAAAAGTTCTACATGAGCAACCTTCCCAACCTCAGTTCTGAATAAATCTTTAAGATCTTGCCAACGAAAATCATAGGGAATGTTTGATACATAGATTCGACGATCTGAAGCTTTGCGACCACCACGATCGTTTCGTTCCCTACTGCGATCACGACTCGTAGAGTTTATTCGATTTTGCCTGTCTGACCTCCTATTACGATCGCGTTCCCTACTCCGGTCCCTTTCGTCATTATTCTGCACTTGACTCCTAATGTTTAACAAGATTACGTAGAAATAACGCGTGAAAAAGAAAACACGTTTTACTGTTGTACCGAAATATACTAATAGATTATGCTACGTTCTTTTTGCTTTATGTCTTACACAAACTTTAACCATAGTTGTGAAATTAGGAAAATATTTTTCTAAAAACTTTGCATCGTCGATATATTGGAAACGTATTAGCGTCGGTTTACGTTAATTGTACATCATTCTCCACGCCGACAAAGAACTTACGATAAATTATTACAAATAATAATTTTATACTTACTCCTCTTGTTTGAGCATCGTTGAGGCTTCTTTCATTTAACAAACTAGATTACTTGAAGAACTTATATTAAAGTTCGCAGTTAAAAAGAGTAAAAGACACCGTACATGCAAACATACGCGATCATGAAGCGTCTTATAAAATGGCCGACTTAGGAAGTGCTAAAACATACCGGAAACTACTGTATTCAAAAACAGATTTTCGATTTAAAAAAATACGAAGGGAGATATGAAAATCGTTTGCGTATAATTTTTTGACAATTATTTAATTGCTATCGCGTTACGTTGTAATTCTGAATTTTACTTCATACTTTTAGACAATATTATACGGTCTGAAGTTATTAAAATATTGAATATAACCAAATTTTAAATTTTCGAACGCAAAACATTGAATTTGAAAAAAATTAAAACGGAATTTGCAGCCAATCAAAATTTACATAATAAAATTCGGTGTTTGAATAGATTCTCTTAAACGTTACAAAGATATTTATTTTTCGATATTTTTATTCTCGTCATTTGTTATTTGAAAGAATATCAATAAAAAATTGTAGAAAGTAATGTCAACTGTTAAAATTAAATTGTTCCAATCATTCTTAATCACTGTCGTGTGAATCAAAATATCGATGGATGTGGAGCCACTCGTCATATTCTATACGTCGTCCGCTATGTTCCATTTCCGAATAGCAGAAGACATCGTTTCGTGGGAACCAATCACGAGTGTGACTGGTTCATCTCTCGTTTTTGGTATTGCTTCTGACGTGCGCAACTTCTTTGGGTGGTGGAGGTTCGTGTTTTTATTGTAAAATTTACAAAGAGAATGGCAGCGCAGTGGATACGAAATGCAGTAAGTAACACGTGTCAATCAAGAAATCCCAAGAACAATCAGTGTCCTATACGTAACCCCACTTTTTCCCAGATGTAAAGGTTAGAATCCTCACAGATTGGTTATATATCTTTCTGCTTGGGTGTAATATCTTGGCAGTTTGTCTCCTATTCTTATATCATTTATAATTTTTCTATCTCCTTACAATGTCATATTTTCCAAATATTACTTTTGCTTTCAATTTCTTTACGAAATATGATACTGCTTTTTTGTTTTTTTTTAGTAACTGCTAATTATATCTGTGTTTTATTAACAGGTTCCGAAAATCGGCAGTGCCCGTTTTTACAGCAGTAAAGTTCACAAATGCACACTTATTCCTGGAGATGGTATCGGGCCTGAAATTTCTGTCGCCGTCCAAAAGATTTTTGATGCTGCCAAGGTAAAGCGATTTTTGTAGATAATTGTACAGTTTGTCGATTTCCGTGATGCACGATATTTTTGTATAATATGCATGTTCATTAGTTGAATGAAAATCTATTGATAATATTTCACTTTGACACTTCTGTTACATATTTGCACAGTAGTTACCATATTCTAAGTATTTATTTTTATTTTATGGATTACTTGTGGTTTGAACCTTACAAGGTGACCCTATGTGTCCTACTACTAACCTTAAAGAGTTTATTTTAATCTTACTCTTATACAGGTTGATCCAATTGTAGGCTAATTCAGTCTGATCTTATTGTAGCAAAGGTATGTTTTTTAATTTGTATATTTTTTTTATAAACATGTAATGTTTGCTATACAGAAACTTCAATGAAATGCATGAGATTATCAATCTATTTTTTCTTTCATATAAAATGGCAATGTATAAAGTAGTTTTAATGTTATAAAACAGCAATGTAATGTCTTTTGACATGAATGAAGAAACTTTAATAGTATCACTCATATATCACATATTGCATAACACTATTACTTAACTCTTAGCATTTACATGTATATTATTGTATATCTATGTAGTTTGTTCTTTGATATGACAGCATTAATAAAAGTGAATACATTTACCCTTAGATAAAATTTTATCACAACATTTTCATTTCCTAGATGTGTATTTATACTTGTAATATTAACTTAAATACCAGGTACCTATAGAATGGGAATCTGTCGATGTAACACCAGTAAAAGGTCCAGATGGAAAATTTGGTATTCCACAAGCTGCCATTGATTCAGTTAACAGGAATAAAATTGGTTTAAAAGGTCCATTGATGACACCCATAGGAAAAGGACATAGGTCTTTAAATCTTGCATTAAGAAAGTAAGTCTACTTTTATCTTTGTGCAATTAAGAGGAATTTCATGCATTTGTTTTAAACATCTGTGTGTATTGTCTCAGTCTTAATATAATTGACTCAAACTGTTTGAGTTACATAATCATAAATAGCATTGTAAACATGCAATTATGTGAATTAGTTCAGACTGTTGCATACATGGATTTGAAAGAATTTAAAAATTTGTATATTCTTGCTGTAATAAATAATTATTTTTTGTTTTTCAGAGAATTTAATTTATATGCTAATGTTCGACCATGCCGTTCCTTAGAAGGTTATAAAACACTATATGACAATGTTGATGTTGTCACTATTAGAGAAAATACAGAGGGAGAATACTCTGGCATAGAACATGAAATTGTAGAAGGAGTTGTACAGTCTATTAAATTAATTACAGAGGAAGCTTCTAGTCGAGTAGCAGAGTTTGCTTTTCAATATGCTCAGGATAACAATAGGAAAAAGGTTTACATTTGGTTTATTCAAAAATAAGTTGCAAAAGTATGTTAGAATGACTGAAATGAATATCCTGATTTATAGGTGACTGCTGTACACAAAGCAAATATAATGAGAATGTCAGATGGTTTGTTCTTAAGGTGCTGTAGAGAGGCTGCTCAGAAATTTCCTTCTATTAAATTTGAAGAGAGATATTTAGATACAGTCTGTTTAAACATGGTTCAAGATCCTGGTCAATATGATGTACTTGTAATGCCTAATTTATATGGTGATATTTTGTCTGACATGTGTGCTGGACTTGTAGGAGGACTTGGTCTTACACCAAGTGGAAATATTGGTTTAAATGGAGCACTGTTTGAATCTGTATGTATCAGAAAATTTACAACGTTTTGACAAATGTGATAGTGCGTAATTTACTAAGAACTTTATCTGCAAATAGGTGCATGGAACTGCTCCAGATATAGCAGGTCAAGATAAGGCAAACCCTACAGCATTGTTATTGTCTGCTGTAATGATGCTTAAATACATGGGACTAAATCAGCACGCAAAAATTATTGAAAATTCTGCTTATGATACTATTAAAGAAAGCAAATATTTAACAGGAGATTTAGGTGGATCTTCAAAATGCAGTGAATACACTAATGAAATTTGCAAAAAAGTTCAAGCACTAGCGAAATAAATATAAAGTTTATTAAACTGCCAAATACTCGTAGAAACAATACATGTGAGGTAAAGTGCTGTTTTTGAACATCTCTGTAATTATTGTTTTTAAAATTATCTTCAATGTACCTCCCTCAGGACAAATCAGCAATTTGGTCTGGAATAAGTTGCAGAAGTTTTCAGTGTAGGCAAAGAATAACTTATTCATCTGTTCCCGTTCATTTAGATAATTTTTGTCGAGTACTTGATCTAGTTTATTATTATAAAACTTAATATCACTCAACTTCGTGAATCTGTTAATGTGTAACAGCATTTATATGATTTTATTATAACAAAACTCAAGCAGTTTAAACACGCGTATTGACTGAGTGTACATTTATATATGTTTGTCACACTTCTTTATTTTAAAGAAGAATTCTGATAGAATCTGTAAAAAAATTAGACATATAAATTAATCTAGGAACACTGTACAATACTTTTAAACGAAGTTGTGAAAGATACGTGGCCTCGAGTAAAAATTTCAACAAACAACATTGCGCAGTATTATA